GCCTTGAATTTATTTGGGGGAACATATGTTATACACTCAAAAAAGGCTAATGTGAAAATTGGAGAAGTTGCACCCCACCAATTAATATTTATTTCATGTTTGTATTTGTCCCACAGAAAACTGATCAGAATATTGAGCTGAAGAATAGACAAAAACAATGCTACTTATTGAGGAATTTTCAGACAAATTTGCTCATAGTTTAAATTAAAAGTTTAAATCTGTCAAGTTACAAAGTCTGTAAAATCTTCGCCAGTAAACCATGTACACCAATTTTTTTTTAAATATGTAAAATTTGTTTATTTTCAGGTATATCTTGTAATGTAAATGACCAGTTTATAATAATCCTTTGAAACTCAATCCTAATCCTCGCATTTAAAACCAAATTTGTCCTTAGAAAATGCAAAAAATATATAGAAATACTTGAATTTATCATGTAAAACATAAGAAATATTATAAAGAAACATAATTCAATAAAAACAAGGCTGCAATTGAACTTGTTATGAGGATAGGATAAAAAATTTTTGGAAATGGAATTCAGGAAATCCCGTTTTCTGAAGGTCAAACAATTCCTTTTTCAAAACCAAATCCTGCTTTTAATTTATAGTGTACGACGTAAGAAAAACTCACAAAGAAACATTCTGTAAAAACAAGATAGCAATTGTACTTATATTTAATGACGATATTTTTATGGTCAAGAATATTTTGAAAATGGAATTCAGGTAACATTGCGCTTCTTGAAGACCACCCCCAGCCCAATTTTAGTTTGAGATTGATTTGGCCTACTCAACATGTGATTTAATTTATTCCAATTGCAAATGTATCCAATGAACTCATATAATTAAGTAAGTATTCTGTTTACTAGGGAAAACCCAATCTTGATAAAAATTTATCTTGAAGAGAATAAGAAAACTGTTGAGACAATAAACTACATGTATGTATAGCGTTATAATTACAACTGATTTATGGAATCAAGCAATCAAGGAACCAAAGGATACGTAATGTAATAAAAAGAAAATTTATTTTATCTGTTCAGCATAATGAAAAATAGCCACATTTATATTTTAATATCGCAATAATCTGATTTTATATTTTTTGAAACAACAAAGCTATTGAGAACTAAAAAAAATAAAAAAATAGTTGATTTCTAAAAATAACAATAAATAAGCAATTGAATTTGGGGGAATATGGGTTGTACAAGGTTGTAATAATACCACTAAAAACTTGTTTATTTTGCCTTTTCAACACTTATCATTTCTACTTAATTTATTTTAACTACAAAGATACATAGATAAGTAAATTTTTAAAAAAACTAAGTCTTTTTAGTGGATCTTTTATTTTTGAATACTCTATTATAATACACATCAAAAAGGTGCACAAAGATGGAGATAAACTGTTAAGTTTATTGCTGCCAACATTACAATGAGGATGCAGTATTAAGGGTCCCTCGGACAGATTGAAATTAAAATTGAGTTTATTGCAGCTATATTAATTTTTTTTTTATTTAATTTTTTTCTTAATAAAAATTTCAAGAAAATAAGAATTCCTAAGGATCTTACAATCCTTCCAGAAACCTTGATAATAATTCTGTTTCCATGTTGAGTAATTAAAGGTTTCGACTAGCCATTGTTTGCCAGTTTTATATTCTATCGATATTGACGAGATTGAAATAAGATGGCAAGTTGAATAGAAATAATCAAAGAAAACATTTTGCCTGTCATATTTCCTCAGGAAGAATGCTTCCTACCCCAACTCTTTCTAACCGATTAATTACTGTTGGATGTTAAATTGTTTTGTGACATTTTGTTATCAAAGAAGGAAGGGAGAATGAAATCGAAAAATCATGGAAATCATTAAGGATCAGAGTTTCTATAAAATGGTGGGTCTTATGTCGCTCGAGGACAAATCTATCAAAACTCTCTCACAGCTGAAGCATAAAACATCAAAAAGGAACAGACAATGGGGAAAATAAACATGAACTTGACAGTTCAATAGGTCACATTTGTGTTCGTACTAAGCCCAACAACAACAGAAATAGAAACAGTTAAGGAAAATTAGGAAAAAACGTTCTTCCAATCCTTCTAAACTCACTCCTGAAGAAAATAAAGCGTGAATTCCAATTTATTTATGTATATAAACTGTGTTTTATATAGGTCACATTTATCTATGTACCCAATAATGTATGATAGAAGTAGATATTGAAACAAAAAAAAATTTCATGCACAATAATTTTTAAAAAATAGTGTCCGTTAAGCTTCCCAAGGATTTTTTTTTTCAAAACTTAAAATACCCGAGGAAGTGATTTTTGATTAGAGTTGCTAGGATTTGAAACTCGAATCATGAAAAATACAAGAAAGAATTTCAATTCAAGGGATGTATTTACATATACAGAAGATAAGCAGATATATTTATCTATTTGGGTTTATATAGGTCACATTTGTGTATGTACTTGACCTAAAGTAGTAAGAAGTAGATAATGAAAGCAAAAAAAAATTTTCCTGCACAAGAACTTTTAAAATAGGCCACATTTGGGTATTTGTTAATAAGAGTTTCTAGGGTACAGCGGGTTTTGTTGTCAATCAACACTCTTTGGAAATCATTCCTGAAGAATACAAGACTGAATTTCATTCAAAAGTGAAGTGGTATAGGAAATTACTCCTAGGACCAAAATCCATCTTGACTGTCAACTAAACTAACCTTAAACAAGGTTTTACTTCATTCATCCTACTGCTCTACCACTCTCTAAACATTCCCATCCCATGAACCGCCACATTTCTTTAATTGATGGCCTCGTGACCTCCTTGCTTCTTAATTCCTCATACTGACTGCCAGCTAGCTGGCATGACATACATCTTTCGAATGCACCACTGGTATTAGTATAAGTGCTGTAACCATGTTAAATATGTATAAGGTCCAAATAAATTAAATTACAAAAAAATATTGAGAGTGATGTAAATAAACTGTTATTTTAAACTTATCTATTAGGGTTTATATGTCACATGTGTGCATGTACATGGCCCAAGAAACAGAAATATACAAGGAAAATGAGAAAAAAAGTTGTACAATTTGAAGAAAATGGTGGGATGGGAAAATGGAGTTTACCAAGGATAATCTTCAGGGAATTATTATGGGTTTATAGGAAATGGTGGATATGGTATCGACTAAGGTGAAATCTTTCAAAACTCTACACAACATGATCTTGAAGAATACAAGAATAATAAAAAACGAATGGACAATGGTGCAAATAAATTGTTTTGTCTACATCTAATTTGTCTATATGCTGGGACCGAAAGAAGCAACATAGAAAAAATGGTGGGTGATTTTATAGAAATGGTGGATCTTGGAATAGATTTATATTCGAAGACCAAAAAAAGCAATATAGAAATGTAAGGAAAACTAGTAAAAATAAAAATCCTTAGAGAAGAATTTTGACAAAATGGTGGGTGAGTTTATAGAAATGGTTGATCTTGGAATAGATTTACATTCTAAGACCATAAAAAGCAATATACAAATGTAAGGAAAACAAGTAAAAATAAAAATCCTTAGAAAAAATTTTTAAGAAAACGTTGGGTGAGCTTATAGAAATGGATCCTGAAGGAGAATCGTTCAAATAGATTGTTTTGTCTACCTCCAAATTGTCTATGTACTAAAGCCAAATAAAGCAGTAAGTAAAAAAGTTCCTTCTGGGAAAATTCTAGAAATTGATTTACATACTAAGACCAAAAAAGCAATATAGAAATCTAAGGAAAATTAGTTGAAAAAATTCCTTAGAAAAGAATTTTAAGAAAATAGTGAGATGTCAAGTTTCCCAAAGATAGTCTTTAAAACCCAAAATAATTCAGAAAATCATTATAGACCAGAGTTAATAGGAAATAGTGGAACTTGGAATAGATTTATGTTCTAAGACCAAAAAATCAGTATAGAAATATAAGTTAAAATAGTTGAAAAAATTCCTTAGAGAAGAATTTTAAGAAAATGGTGGGTCTTGGAATAGTTCTAGGAGAAATCTTTCAAAACTCTCCACAAGAAGAAGAATTCAAGAATAATAAAAAGCGAACATACCAAGGTACAAATAAACTGTTTTGTCTGCCTCATATTTGTCTATGTGCTAAGACCAAAAAAGCAAGATAGACATGTAAAGAAAATGAGTTTAAAAAAATCCTTAGAGAAAAATTTTAAGAAAATGGTGGGTGAGTTTAAGAAATGTTGGATGTAGGAATAAATCTAGGTGAAATCTTTCAAAACTCTCCAAAACATGATCCTGAAGAATACAAGAATAAAAAAACGAATGGAGAATCGTTCAAATAGATTGTTTTGTCTACCTCCAATTTGTCTATGTACTAAAGCCAAATAAAGCAGAGAGTAGAAAAATTCCTTCTGGTAGAATTTTAAGATGGACGTTAAGTTTACCAATGATTTTTCATTGTTTCTAGGGACTGGTGCGTGTCGCTCAAGGACGTTCTTTACAATCCGTTCAAATCTAAGTCTTGATGAATATAGAATGAATTTCTATTTAAAACGTTAAAAAAAAATTTGTATTTATCTATTTTGATTTATATAGGTCACATTTCTCTATGTGCTTTGCCCAAAAGATCAAGATAAATGGAGATAAAAAAATTCTTGTAGATTTTTTACAAAATGTTTTTTTTTTGTTTTCGAAACGGGAGAATTTGTGAGCTTTTGTAACAAGTTCCGTTCTTCAGGCGTTCCGGCCAGATTCCTTTCGGGACAATCCATTAATGAGGATGATGGGAAGCATCCTTCCGAATAAGGGCCGAGGTCAAATTTGAACTTTAACAAGAGGATGAGGCCTATTTGCTCAGGCAATTCCGACTAATTAACCTTAGGGTTCGAGGCAAAGTCCCATGGCCATTTAAAACTTCATTCTTACCATAAGTTGATGCGAATCTTTTCCCCGCTGCGGAGAAAAAGTGTGAAAATCGATTTTTTTTAACAAATAAAAATGGAGCGATAATGGTAAATAAAAAACGTGAACGTCTTACCTTTGTTCAATGCTGGGCTGAGCAGATGGAAATGTAGGCGGGAACAATCACAAACTGCCGTTCAGAAACTTTCACCGGTGGATTGGATAACAACTGTTAAGCTCTCCGGAGTGGGGAAGAAAGTGAAAAAGGGAAGCAAACTGCCGCGATCCCGAAAAAGTTTGGAATGTAAGTACGAGGAGAAGACCTTCACTGGACTGAGGAAAAAATGAGAAGTGGTAACGGGCTGAATAACCTGACTGGCTCCTTATCTGTAACAGGCATTGCTACCTTCCTGCCTCAGACAGCTGAGCCCGACACCCTTTCCCGGGCTTTTTCGAAAAACTAGTCTTTCAAAAGACTCTCCGACAATCTCAAGTAAAATTTCAAAAATTCAAAATACAAAACATTTGTTTCTTTTTAATTTACATTATTTTTATTGGAAAAACAATAATTTGTAACAATATGAAATGAATATGTACTTTATTCAATGTAATTAGTTACAAAAAAGTTAAGTTATAAAAATAAATAAAAGCATACTACGGCTATGGTTGACAACCGTCTGCCGGAAAAACGGGCAAAATTTTTTAAAAAATATTATTATTACTTTTTAATAAACAATACATGAAACTTATTATTTTTAAATTTATTTACACTATATTTTAACAATTTGAGCATGGCATCTCATTATAATCTCAGGGGAAAAAAAGACCTGTTAAATATAATATTAAGTGACATAAAAACATCTTCAATAATTAAAATATAAAGTCAATTCTTTTTTGTAATTCCAGACTTCTTTAACAAAGTTTACTAAGTTGAAACACTGAAAATTGTTTAATAAGGCGATTGTACATTCTCTTGTTAACACATGAGGACAGACCTAAGTGTCTCAATCTGAATTCTGCCAGCATCGGACATTTTGCTAAGAAATGGAAGGTGTCTTCTCTGGCCTTTCTATTGCATACGGAACATAGGTTGAGATAGTTATGTCTTGTTAGATTATAGTTGAGAGGAAGCAACTTAAATCTAATTGTAAAAACCCAGCAAGCAAACGGGACAGAGGAAATTCTGGCACTTTCAAATATATTAAATAAGCTTCCCTCAGACACAAGTTCCCTATACAATACGAATCTTGATGACTTGTGGGCCTGTGCTAGACATTTATCAATGTATTCGGTCCGGATGGTAAGGCAAGAGAGTTCCGTATATCCGCATATGTCGAATTAGTTTTGTAAAGTGTAGTTCGTTTGTTAATCATGTCTGATTTTGGTCCTAGCAGCCTTCTTAGTTGTCCGAGTCTTAAGTTCAGTTCTTGTCGCCTCAGTCTAGTATGTGGATTCAACGTCAGTCTGCTGTCTAGTTACAGATCTAAATATTCGATTTGTGTGGATGTCGGTGATTTCTAGTTGTTGTCGTATAGTCTAGGATAAGGCTTCATTTCCTCATTACTAGCATTACTCAGCTTTCGGAGGACACCTGTTTTGAGAAACCAGCCTAGACTGCCACTCTTTTCAAGGAGCTCTCTGGGCCAACGTCGTTTAAGGTGATGTGGAGGATTATGGGGAGGGGATATAGTAAAAAGAGCTTGACTGGAATGGTTATGGCGAGTCGAAAGATGAACGAAGGTACGGTGGAGGTCACAGCGGCTGGCAAGGCTAGAGACGTCATAGAAAGCTTGGATAATTTGTCTGAGGACTTATGGTTAGAATGTTTGGATGGGTTAGATCCCCACGGTTCTGCTCCGTATGTCCAATAGGTCAAATGTGTTTTGTAAAGTGTAGTTTTTTCATTACAGTCATGTCTGATTTTGGTCCTAGTAGTCTTCTTAGTTGTCCTAGTCTTCTCTGTTTAGTTCTTGTCGTGTTATCCGGATTCCATGTCTAGTACAGTCCTAAATATTTGACTTGTGTGGAAATCCGTAATTCCTTATTGTTGGCGTATAGTCTAGAACAATGGCGTTTTTTTTAATAATATTGCGGTATCGTCGTCATAGGTTGACGAGGTGGTGTTTGAATGGATGATCAGCAGTATAAATTGTGTACAGGATAGGTGCAAGGATGTAGGACCCGGCGATCGGTTTTACCTCCGAGAACTTATACCGCACCTCACTCTGAAGCAGCAATCGGTTAGGTAGGATTAGAGGATTAAGTAGTAAGGATCAGATAGGAATTGTTTTAGCTTGAAGAGAATTCCCGGATGCTAGACTGTATCAACTGCTTTGGTGATGTCTAGCATACAAGTAAAACTTTTTTAAATGAAAATTTAAACTAAAACAAACAAAAAATTTGGCAAATGTGGTGCTAGGGTGGTGTCCTCCTGTGTGCCATAATGTACCTTAGGAATTTGGATCAAATCTGTTGAGAACATCGACCCAATATGCATTTATGTAAAATTTGACGACATCATTAGCTAAATAAAGGTAATACCCTAAGGTAATAAAGGTAATCCCTAACCATACCTAACCATCTCTCTATAGCAACACCCGACAGGGTTTTGTTAATTAATCAGATTTTTAAAACAGGTGATCCATCTTATTTGTAAATACTGATTAAAACATTTTCAAATGATTTATTCCCATCGGTAAATACATGCAGGAACTTGAAAAGACAACCGCAGAAGTAACCTCCGAAGTAACGCCAGAAGAGTCGAAACAAAAACTGAGCAGCCCGCCTTCGGATACTGGAACGTACTTGAGCGTCCAAGGGTTCGAAAAAAGATGGCTCGACATAATAATGTTCAAGGCGGCAAAAAAGAAAATGTTCAAGAAAATGTACTTCATGTTTTCAGTGCAATGCTTGTTCTACTTAGTCCTAGCCCTTTTGTCTTATTTGGTCGAAGAGGTGAAAGAGTTTTACGTTAGGATGTCACCGTTCCTCGTGATTCTCTTCCTGTCGACAATATTCATACTCATGCTTTTCTCGCTCAGCTCAAAACTAAGGAAGGTGTACCCTTTGAACCTTCTTGCCATTTTGGTCATCACCACCCTCCTCTGTTTCTGCAACACGATCATTTTTGTCGTGTCAGAGCTTTACGAAGGGGCCATCATGTTGATAGTCCCTTTGCTTGTATCCCTCACGATCATAATCACGACCTGCATTACCCCGTTCGACATTCACAACCGGTTTATGATTTGCCTTATGACGTTGCTGGTGCTAATCATCAACGCAGGTATGGCCACAGCGTTGTACTTCAGCTCCGACTACCGACTATCGACCCTCATTATGATCAGCAGCTGCCTGACGGTGGGCTCCTATTATTTCCTCTACGGCAGCCTCTACGCACTCAGGTACAAGTTTGACGGCGTTCACGTAAGCGAGTGGATAGTACCTGCAATGCTTTTCTACACCGGCGGACTCCTCCTGCTCTACCACAAACTATACCAGCTTTTGTGCATTATCTGCAGAATAGACGACAATTGGTATTATTAATCTAATATGAATTTATAAATCATTAAAAAATGGAATAACGAGTAATTAAATTGCTTTTACGACACATGTTTTTTGCTTCCGAACAACCGAAGGTAGGGAAGCCTTATATTCATGCAGGAAGTGGACACAATTTTTATCCTCCAAAATCAAAATTTCCACTAGCATTTTGTAACCGGAAAAACTCCAAAACCATGAGACCAATTGTTATAAAATTTTCGGAGATTGAACGGGTTGGTTTTTAGATGACCCCGTATAAATTTCATCCTAATTTGATCAACAGCCTGTACATGCGCGAACGTAAAATCCTGTACACAGTTTTGTTTCCAAAAGCATTAAACGGATTTTGATGAAATTAGCAGGGATTATGCGAGTTGGTTTCCAGATTGTCCTGTATGAATTTTATACCAATCTGATTAACCTTGCTTTGACCATACACAAACGTAAAATCACGTACACATCTATATCTACAAAAGCATTGGTCGGATTTTATGAAATTTTCAAGGATTATGGGGGTGCTATCTAAGATGATCCCTGATTAATTTTATACCAATCGGATTAACATATGAGATTTCGCATGCGCAATCGTTAAAGTTCACAGCTTTATCTCTGAAACCATACACGGATTTTGATGACATTTGCAGGGATTATGCGAGTTGGTTTCCGGATAGTCCCCTATGAATTTCATCGCAATCGTATCAATTGTAACACCTGCGCATGCTCAAACGTACAATCCGTACATAACTAGTCTGGGCAACCTGCTGGAGTTCCCAACATACACCATTTTTACGGATGGTAGTAAGATAGGTGAATCTGTGAGTTGCTCTGCTGAGGTATACCACGAAAACGGAAATGCCATATGCACGCTAAGTACCGTTTGGCAGCGTGGTTCAAACAACCAGGCATTAATTCTGGCGTTCATGCATGCAACAAAATGGTTCTTAGAGACTCAGAAAAACCATCTGGTTCCAGCTACGAACTCTGCTTTGATAGACACAAATAATGCGGTAACATTGGACATGCACATGGAGACGTGGAGAAAATTCGTGCAACGCTTAGGAAATGTCCGGCTGAATTGGGATGGCAGGTCGGAATGCTGTATTAAAGCACACGCTGGAAACGATGACAACGTAATGGCAGATAGGATGGCAAAGGATGAAATCTTGCCAATTATCTACTCCCGGGTACCAATAACCTATGTGAAATTTTGGGCTAATCGGAAGTCGGGAAAATGAGTGGGGGAGGTGACAAAAGGAATCCAAATTTGTCTACTGATACATGACATCTTAGACTTGGTTGTAAGTTCAAAGGAGAGAACAGGGCAAAATCTAAAGTTCGAGGTGAAGTAAAAACTTCTCGTTCTGGTCCTCTAATGCAAGCTGTTAGCATTTTTATGTCAATCTTCAACTGAATAACACGTCTAACAACACGAGGAAAAGTACATTGGGAAAATTCCAACTTCACCAGATTTAATTCACCGAGCCCATATGAGGATTTTTTCAACTAGAATATTTTATATATTTTCTTTAACTTTTAAGATATTGCATATGGTGTTTTAACTTAGTTTTATTTTGTTTTACAATCAAATCAGCTTTCAATTTATTACCACCAGTAATGCAGTTGTCATCGAAGGAAGAACGCAATTCAATAATGAGGCGACGGTCGAGAAAGCTATTTTTGAAGGCGTACATCATCCACTCCTTGCAGAACATGTTTTGGACAAGTCTCAGCTTGTTTTTCATCCTTCAGAAAGACGTCATGAAAACTTTCCGTATTTATTACTGGTTGGCGTTGATCTCCCTGGGATTTTTCATCACCGCCACGTTATTGCTTGCCTGCTCGTATAAGTACAGGCAGATGTTCCCTTTGAACATGTTCATCCTCATCATATTAACGATGGCCCTCGGGTTTTGTTTTGCCATCTTGTTTACGCTGATCAACGAGGTCTGGGTCGTGATATACTTTTTGACTGCCCTGTCTGCAGCACCGATCATCATCACAATCGCCTTCCCTTTCTTCTCTTTCAACCTACAGAAGGATAACATCTACTACTTGTTTGTCACCGTGACCGTATTATTCCACATTATCGGAATTACTGTAATGGCCACACTGACTGGAGTTAAATGGCCGTACTTCGCCAATGCCATAGTAGTCAACATATCCATGTCACTCTACTCCTTCTCTGTTATTAAAATGGCAGCTGCTGGTAATATTGAGCCCATCGGGCAGTCCGGCGTCGTCCATTTGATTCTGCTCCTATTCATAATTCATTGGCTGATGTTTTCCTTCCGGTGCCAAGTGTTGGCTAACTTCTGCAAACCCAAATAGGAATAAAACAAAATATATCGTCAAAAAAAAATCCAGCGTTAATTTTTGTATTTCAGCCTGTTAGAAAATAAGAAAAAGTTAAATTAAAGACTAACCCAAAAACACGTGATACATTCACAAATTGCCATCATAATAAAACATAACATAAAGACTTCGCAACTGTGAATTGACCTTTAAGTAGAGAGTCAAAAATAAGTCTTTTTATGAAGTACTCATGTCGCCATTATATATTTACTTTTAACTGGGGTCTTCACTGTTCGAACTAACTTATTTCTTTTAAGCATTCTCAGACTTTTTTTCCAGGGCGTACGTTCAAGTAGTAGAAAGCGGCGTTGGCTAGTGTGATCACCGTCCTTTGATAGGTCAATGACTGGCAAAGCTGCAGATTGACGTCAAGAGTTAGGAGCTGGGTACTTACTTCACACTAGTCTCACATAGATTTTAAATCGTCTATACACGGTTGAATATATAGTAATCCATTCAGAGCTTATTCCAAGTTTTAAATAGTAGAAAGCGGTATTGATTGGTATGATCGTCCGTATTTGATAGGTCAAAGGTTGGTAAAGTGAGCTGTAGGTTGACCTAGACAAGATTTAGATACTGAATATGACCAGTCTCCAAATGGATGTTAAAAACCGTCCAACAACAGCTGAATATCTGACAAATCGTTCAGGGGGCTTATTCCAAGTTCAAGGGTTGGAAAGCGGTATTGACTGGTCTGATTGTCCGTCTTCCTTTCATAGAGCTTTATCTCTTACCTTGCCTCATACCTGGTGCCTTCCAGTGCTTGAGGTTTTCTTTCTCCAGCTCCAACTTTAGCACAATCTCTCGGTGCCTGGTTGTCGTTCCAGACATATGGGTGAGAGGGCTGCCCCTTCTTTGGCTAGTTGGCTTCCTTCTGTACCCACCTCAAGGTAATGTTGAGTTTTCCTATGGGCAATTTAGTTACTCCCGGGCTAGTCTGATGAGTAAAGCAAACATGTTTAATGTTTTGATAGCCATCCGATTGCCTGAAAGTATGAAAATATGTACACCTATTTCTTCTTTATATGATCCTGTACAATCCTTGGACCTCAACTTGTAAGATAGTTCGAATCAGTGTTGCTAGAGTGTAATTTTGCCCCTTTACCCTTACACCCTGTTCTATCTTGGATACATCAGTGTACCATATTAAGACCTTTCCTGGCACTTGGGGTTGCTTTCTTCCAAAGTTCAGGTACTGACAGGAATATAACCTCATTTATTTTAATTGTTCTCAGAATGTTGACATTGCTTCTTCTTAGATCTGGTTTTATTTCTTTGTTCATATCTCCGTAGTTTGCTAGCACTCTCAAGAAAGCCACCCCTTAACATGAATGTGTAAAAGTGGGTGATCGAGTGTTGTTTCCATAGCTATTACGGAACAAGTATGAGCAGCAATCACCGCTGCTATGTTAAGAGTCTACTCTTTATATGTTTTACTATCCTTATCTATCCTCACATAGTGTGCTCCATATGTGACCTACCATCCGTTATAGTGTATGACCAATACAATTGATACAATAGGGGTTGATTCCACAGATTCTGCTGCTGTAGAGCCTTAGCCTTATGTAGTACGTTGCTTATATGACTTCTCCACATAAGCCTTCGGTCAAGGGTTATACCTAGGTGCTTAGTTTCTTTGGAGGTTATGTCTTCATATTAAAGCGAGGTCTTTCAGATTTAGCTGCAAACAAGTTTTTAGGGTTGATATGTAACACCCATTTTCTAAGAATATCTTTCTACGATGTTTAGTGCAGTTTACATCTGTTTCGACAGTATCATCAAATTTTCCATTTTTGATTGGCTAACAGGTCATCTATGTATGATGACCTGTTTTAAGCTTCATGATTAGGTGATGTACTAATAGCATAGAAGTGACATTAGTACCCCTTCTAGATGCCATAAATTTTTAGGATAGTGGTCATAAAGAAAGGGCCTGATCAGAATGTGGGAGATCCTTTTGTTCAAGAGTCTTTTTTCCAATGTCTTTGATTCTTGTATCCTGGTGGAAAATGACTTTGTTTTATGTTCCTAATGTGTTTAGCTTGGTTTTTCAATTCAGAACTATTTAATTACATCCAAAATTCATGTTTGCTTGGCTGTCTGACATATATTTGTTTGCGTTCAGATTACACTGCTTGAACTTCAACTTTACATTGGTTTTATTTTAATTTCATGTATTTTTAATATCGTTCGTGTTTTGATTTAAGCAAAAATAAATATGTGGATTTACAACGTCATACTTGAAGAACTGTTCCTGCTGAATGGTTAGAACATTTAGTCTTGGCTTTTCTAGAGCATGTACAACTTATGTGTCAAAAATGTTTTTTGATTTAAAAAGAAATACGTACGAAATCATCATTATTTGCAGCTTGCTTGTACATTCTTCTGTGTACTTAATTCTGTAGTTCATGGCATCCCCACTGTGTTCAGTTTATTTATGTTTGTTACCTTCTCGCTTCTCCTGCTTGTTCACTCATCACTGATCAAAAGAAAACATGTCATCAGAGGAAGAGGATTATATGTCTGAAGCTCTTTTAAAGACTTGGTAATATTTCTAAAGTTAAACTAATTGAAAGTAATTTAAAAATCTTGAAATTTTTTTTTATATTACTTGATATTTCCTGGAGTCTTCTCTTTTGCATGTGCATTCTTAGTTGTATTTTTCCCAGTGAAGCAGACATCAGGCCAGGCCTCATACACAACCGGAGCGAAAAAAGGAGCCTGGAAGTATCGAAGAAACGTCAGCTCGAGGAAGAGGCCAGGAGGAAGAAACCGTTGAGGGTCGTAGAAAATGAGAACAGGGCAGAAGGCCTCGATACGCCAATCGCTCCAAACAACAAAGGGTTCGAGATGCTAAAAAAGATGGGGTTCAACCCTGGAAGTGGCCTCGGTGCGAAAGGTAACTTAACGGACAGTCTCCTCCAGTCGTTTTCTAACATTACGCTTGCAGGTCAAGGAAGGGCAGAACCGGTCAAAATCGAGGTGAAAAATAACAAAGAAGGCCTCGGACGCAAAGAAGCGCTGAGGGAGCTTATAGAAAAAAAGCGGAAAAAGTGGAAAGAGGCGAAAAACAACACACCGTCTCTCCTCGACTATAGAGCTGGTCTTGTTGCGAAAGAAAAAGAAAGAAAAGCTTGCGCTGATTTGGGAAAGAGCCAAAGTTCTTGTTACAACCTCGACACCAAAAATGTAAAATTATTATTTTTTATATACATTATGTTTAGTGGTCTGGTTGACCAAATTACTTCTTTCAATTAAATATTCTTTGTTTATAAGTTCTTGGTTGAAATGAAAAAGCTAGTGTCACGAGCGGGATTTGAACCCACGACCTTAGGCTAAATACGCCGTTACTCTACTTGAGCTATCGTGACTTTGATCCACTCAGACACCAGCTCCGCATCTCAACCTACAACCTTTCAAATTTTCCCTCCTTTTTGCCATTTTTCAAATGTAATTAGGATTCGATATTCAGCAACTTATGAAGTGGCCACGGGGAGCTGTTAGTGAAGTTATACTTTCCCTTACTTATTAAATCAATTACATTTAGTGATCTAATTGACCAAATTACTTCTTTGAATTAATTATTCTTTGTATGTATGGTGTCCGAGTGGATCGAAGTCACGATGGCTCAAGTGGTTAGAGCAGCGGCGTATTGAGCCGAAGGTCGTGGATTCGAATCCCGCTTGTGACACTTGCTTTTCCATTTCAATCAAGACCTTACATACCAAGAATTTTTTTTTCCATTTATTATTTCATCAATAAATTCATCAATAAAATTTCTTTCAGGGCATAACTGAACCAGAGGAAGAATGGTTCTGGCCTAAAAAACTTCTAAAAAAAGAAGACAGTGAAGAAGAAGACGATGAAAAAGAAGAAGAAAAAGAAGAACTTTCGGTATTCAATAATAAAATTTTATTAGCCTAAAAAGCCACAGGTACACCTGTGTCGCAATATATTTTATATCTAGTTTAAATAATATTTCAAGGTCATCACGACTGCTTTGTTAAAATCTGCCTATGGTGAATGCACATTTCTTCATTTGGGGTTAATAGCGGATCTATAGTTGCCCGTTAGAAGCTTGATCTGTAATGTGTAAATACAGTAGTCTGAACTTGTTTGTCTCAACCCCTCGTCAGATTAGTTGAATAATACAGCCAGCAGTAAATCAAACTGAAAACAGACACATAAGAGGTGGTATAAAAATACAAATAAAAATAAACTGGAAGTTTTGAAAAGGAGGGTGAGAGTACTAGGGCAGTTGGCATTTTTGTTTTGTAGATTTTCATTTTTAAATGGCAAAAATGAGTAAACATTGAACTAAAAGTATCGAATTGCCGAGTAAGCTCCATTTTGAGAAATGCACACATATCACTCCTGTGGTGTTAAGGATTAACTTGATCCTGAACTATTCTCGCTGGTTTTGGTATTTTCTCATCTTCAGTATTATACCGTCACTGACTTTCAATTTTTACAAATAGGACTAGTGAGAATACACCAAGAGGATCAGTCTTCAGGAGTTAATAGTATGGGTTAAAGGTTAATTTTATTCAAACTATTAATTGCAGACGCAGGACAAACTTGAGCTGCTGACGGTCTATTTAAGGACAAATTACAACTACTGCATATGGTGCGGCGTCGAATATGAAAACGCAGACGACATGGAGAACAGCTGTCCAGGATCAACTAAAGACGATCATTAGTCATTTTTGTATCATATTGTAAATAAGGGGAGGAGTAAAAATTTTACTTTGTTTATTTTTACTTTTATTTTAAAATAATATAATAAAAACATGTGAAACAGAAAAAAAACGCACAACAAAATTTTTTTTTTTAATTTAATTTTCAAAAAACACAAGACGATTCATGACCAAAACAAGAATAATACAAAAAATAAATTCTGTAAATTGTTTTTAAATACATTATAACTGATAGTAAATAAATAAATTGAACACTATTTGTTTTTAAATATATTGAAAAAAATTACTAATTCATAAATATAAGTTTTTCTTAAAAAAAGTTTTTTTTTACTTTATTAGCCTACTTTCAAATACAAAAAGACATACCTAGGAAATATCACAGATAAATGCCCTGAACTTCAGGCATGTTCTTGAAATAACAACTCGAGTCGTTGCGAGGATTCAATTAAAACGTAATAATATAAAGTGTCTTATTGGGAAATAAAAAGTGACTTAAATTACAACCTTAATGAGCAAACAATCTCTTAAGTATAAATAAATTTAAAAAAGTTAAACGCCGTTTCCAGATGATGAACGTTGAAACGTTACACTGAAAAGTTGAGGGCTACTAAGTGTCCCTTTCATCTCCCGTGAAAAAAAAAAAAAAAAAAAAGAAATACTGTCAAGAGTAATTAGAATAGGAATTTCCATTCTTAGATATACTAAATTCTTTCTAGTTTTGTTATTTGTTTAAAAAAAGAAAAAGGAACTTACAAAGGTGTTTTCTTTAATAACTAATAGGATGTTTTGTATAGTTTTGGAAAAAAAATTGTGGATGGGTCGTCAATTTAATTTGGCAAGTTAAATTATTAATATTTTGTGTTATTAAAAAAAAATCACATTTAAATAAAATAATTAATTTCTAAAAACATATAATCTTTGGTATGTTGATATTTAACATGTTCAATGTGTCTAAGCACCCCCCAATGCTTTAAAATGACAATCTGCAGTTTTGTAAATTAATTTTATCGAACTAATTTTGTAAGTCTGTGAATTTATTATCATTAGAAATTGAAAAATGGGTGCTGCACTGAACGTGTTGTTTCACTAGATTGTTTCACTAGTTTTCTTTGCTTTATTTACCAATACAAATTAAATACTGAGATAACAAACAAAAATCTAGAAGAAAAGGAAAATACTGATCTCATTTAAAAACAATTGGTCCTATAAAAAAACCGCCTTAGAGGCTCTTTTCTCTTACAAATAATAATAATTTCCATGGGTTAACAAAATCTATATACATATTTTTTTCCTAACAAGAAAATTCCACATCCTTTTTCTTTCAAACCACAGTAACAAATACGATAAAGGAATTTCTTCTTGAGCTGGTTTAAACAGAAATTTTTAAATTTTTATAAAATATCTTTATAAACGATCATCTAGGGCCGAGGAAGTTTTTCCGCCGATGGGATTTCCTTTCCCGGAGTGCGATGTACTCTTTCCTTCTTAAAGACTGCCGGAAATCGAGGATCTCGTTGACTTTCTTGACTATTTCCACGGCGATTCGGGTCTCACTTTCGTAGTCTTTGGGCTTGAACTTACCCGTCGGCTCTTCAGTCCTGGTGTCCTTTTTGTGGTAATAATAGACTATCCTGTAATTTTGCCAATACATAATTTTATTTTTATTTACTTTTAATCTAGCTCGTGTTTATTGGCCATGAAAGGAGTATCAGGGTCCAATCCCATCATAAACCATGAGAAAGAGAAAATTAGTGTCTGTACAAGAAGGTGGAAGAACTTTTTGTGAGTATACTGGCAGGGATGGAAAAAGAAAAAAGCCAGCAATATACTAAAGTAATTAAGTGACATTTCAAATTTGATGCAATATTACAACTATTAAATTAAACCAAATGTTCTCGTCAAAAACAAAAATCAAATACCAGGATCGACCAATGGTCAACAGAATTTTTTCCATTATCGCCACCAATGGGGGGATCCGACAGGTCAACGGCAGACATAATTTTTTCTACTATCGCCACAGATAGGTGGTTCCCACAGGTGAACAGCAGGTATAATTTTTTCCACTATCGTCTCTGATGGCGGGATCGTACAGGACAACGGCAGACATAATATTTTTTCCACTCTCGCCTCCGATAGCGGGATCCTACAGGCCAATGGCAGACATAATTTATTCCACTATCGCCACCGATATGTGGTTCCCACAGGTCAAAAGCAAGGATAATTTCTTCCACTATCGCCACCGATAGGTAGTTCCCGCAGGTCAACAGCAGCCATAATTTTTTCCACTATCGCCTCCAATAGCGGGATCCTACAGGCCAACGGCAGACAAAATTTTTTCCACAATCGCCACCAATGGGGGGATCCTATAGGTCAATGGCAGACATAATTTCTTCTACTATCGCCACCGATAGCGGGATCCTACAGGCCAACGGCAAACATAATTTTTTCTACTATCGCCTCCGATAGTGGGATCCTACAGACCAACGGCAGACATAATTTTTTCTACTATCGCCTCCGATAGCGGGATCCTACAGGCCAACGGCAGACATAATTTTTTCTACTATCGCCTCCGATAGCGGGATCCTACAGGCCAACGGCAGACATAATTTCTTCTACTATCGCCACCGATAGCGGGATCCAACACGTTAACGGTAGACATAAATTTTTCTACAATCGCCACCGATAGCGGGATCCTACAGGCCAACGGCAGACATAATTTTTTCTACTATCGCTTCCGGTAGCGGGATCCTACAGGCCAACGGCAGACATAATTTTTTCTACTATCGCCACCAATGGGGGATCCGACAGGTCAACGGCAGACATAATTTTTTCTACTATCGCCTCCGATAGCGGGATCCTACAGGCCAACGGCAGACATAATTTCTTCTACTATCGCCACCGATAGCGGTATCCAACACGTTAACGATTACATCCAATAGCACGATCCTACAGGCCAACGGTAGACATAAATTTTTCTACAATTGCCACCAATAGTGGTATCTTACAGGCCAACGGCAGACAATTTCTTCTACTATCACCACCGATAGCGCGATCCAACATGTTAACGGTAAACACAAATTTTTCTACAATCGCCTCCGATAGTGGGATTCTACAGGCCAATGGCAGACATAATTTGTTCTACTACACAGAACATACTACAATAGCAGACTTTTTTTTTAAAATAATTTCTGGATGTGTTACCTAAATGTAGATCTGCTGTTTGATTTGTGTTCAGTCAGATCACAAGCTACGACATCATCCATGTGGTGAGATTTTGCTCTTTGCTTTCCCCAAAGCTTCGTGCTTACTTTCCTCCCACTAGATAAGTAAGGCTGGATCACTGGAGTCACCTCTAATTTATCCGAAGAAATTTCTAAAGCAAGGTAATTATGTTTATAATTTTTATCTAAACTTTTATATTTGTTTATTACCCACCTAAATATATGTCTGTTTTAGTCCTAACTCTATTCAAAGCACAAATGTTAAACGTCTGACTGACTGGGGCAGACGACCGAGTGTCTTCTTGTTGAGCTGGCATGACATACAAGAAAAATTAAGATTCAATTTACTTATAAAAAAGTTTTACATCTTACCTCGAGAACTTGTAGCCTCAGCAGGAACATGATGCAATGTAGATTCAATACTGTCAATTGAAATATTAAATTAAAATGCAACAAATTAATTGAAAATGTATTCTTACATAAAAGGGTAAGATTCTTCGTGGTTGTGAGTCACCGTGTCTCTTTCAACAAGTGCTAGATATGTAAATCCAAATTTACCGACTACCTCCCTTGAGTCTAGGCAAGGGAAATCCCAATCCACATCTCCATCATCTTCAGCAATATATAAACCATAATGACTTGCACTATCCCTTCAAAATAAAAATAAGTAAATAAAAATATTACAATCTTGAATCTGATCAATATTCTTAATGGTTTTATCTGACAAGGCAGACAACGCTGAATATGGCGAAATGGCAAAATTCAAAAGAACGTGAACAGTTCGTTATCATCACTACAATTATTAAAATTTATTAATTTTTAATACCTCAAGTTGATTTCAGGATGTTCTAAAGAGCATTTCCAACAGATTAGACCAATAAGATCCATGACTTTGGCCGAAGCAATAACAACAACTTCCATCGGGTATTTTCGCTTATCCTCGTTTAGCATGGTTATGAATATTAGATATTTTTTTGTAGGGCTGCCGACCTGGGCCTAGAAGAAAAAATAAACCAATGAAAATTCATAACACTGTCTTCCTGCCTTGAATACTCACATTGCCATCCATTTTAGCATAATTCTTAAAAGGGTTGAGAGGCATGTTTGGAAATTTTGAAAGCATCTCTGTAATGACGGAAATCTTTTTGACTTTTTTTATCTCCTCCCGTACTTTCGTCATGTCCTTTTTCGGGAATAGTTCTGCCCTTTCTTCAGCTATAATTGAAATAATTTAAAAACATAATAATCTAAAATTTCAAACAGTCGAATTACCCGAAAGCGGGTTCGGATTGGCCTCCCATTTTACGTGCATTATGTTCGCAGCTTTTTTCTTTTCTTCCTCGAGCTTCTCTAACCTCTGGGCTGTATTCAACCTGTGCCTCCGGAGGCCAAATTGCAAGTCTAGGAATTTATCTTCTTTTAGCATTTCATTTTAAAGGTAATCTTTCAAAAGGCAACCTATTTACCAGAATTGAGGTCAAATGATTGACCGTCATCATCTTCATCCTCCTCAACTCCCGGATAGCAGCTATATTTACTTAACTGAGTCTGTTTTGCTATATTGTCACAAATCATAACAACCTCACACATTCCTAAAAACAAAATTAATCATAACTTACAATATTTTATTTAAATATGTTAAAAATATTGCTGACTACTCAAAGTTTTATGTATATATGTATTTATATTAATCTACTTGACAATTATAATTGTATAATACGATCACAATGGGCCATTTTTTCTTTTGAAATAAAATGAAATCACAAGGCAATAATTTGATGCTTATCATGATTAAAGTTACCGATATTTCAACAATGTTTCTCTTTTTTTATTATTTTACAATATTATATCATTTATTGACTTGTTTTCTTTTCAAAGTATAAATCGAATAATGGAGAGGATATAAAATTCTGGATGCTATTCAGCCCTAAGAGCTTAAAATCGTTATTGTATCATTATTCGTATTCCCGAGGGCATTGAGTCCTACGTTGGATGTGGCAGCAAGGGGTCAAACCAATTTTATTAAAATAAATAAAATCTCATGGCGAACCCAGAACCGCTAATGTGAGTCTCTAACCATTCAGTCACCAAAGCCTCCTAAACGATCCTACAATCACAATCAGAAATAACTTGTGTTTTTTTTCCATAGGGTATTTTTAGTTCATTTCTATTGAATCCAATGCTGTATCTTTTTTTTCAGCAGACAATTTTCTACTTTTGGATCCAATTATGTGAAACAATTTTTAGATCTATAGAACATTTTCCATTATAGGAGCCAATTGTTGGATTGTAAGGTCTGACAGCAGACAGAATATTTTCTATCAAATTTGACAGTACAAGAGTAGAAAGACGATTTTCTATTGACAGTCCAATGACAGAATGAAAGTACATTAAAAAAATTAAAAAATAAATCACATAGCCAACAACTGAATATTTTCTTCCACAGATCCAATTTTTGGTTCTGATAGTTCAATCACTTAATATTTTCTATTATTGACTCCAATTTTTGGATCTCACAGTCCCACTCACCGAACAATTTCTACTATTGGATGCGAATTTTGGATCTGACAGTTCAACAATCTTATATTTTGTACCATCGGATCCGATCTTTGGTTCTGATAGTTCAATGACCGACAGCAAACAACAGACAGAATATTTCTTAACGAATCAAATTGACCTAAAAAATTATAAATGAATCCTATACAACCAATATTTGCTAATGTCGGATCCAATTATTGGATATGGTAATCTATCAACTGACAGAACATCTACTATTAGATCCAATTGTTAGATCTGCGATCCAACAACAGACAGAATATTTCCTATTATAACAGATTTACCTAAACAATTACAAACTGCCGATAATTTCCTACTAACAGATCCAATGCATCAACATTTTCTACTAACAGTTCAAATGACAGTATAGTTTCTAATATGAGATGAAGAATATTTTCAAACTGACAGTCAAACGGCAAACAATTTCATACTATTTTATCCGATCGCATTAATTTTTGGTTTTACAAATCATTTTCTATTTAATACAATTGTTGGATCTGACAACGAACAAGAGACAGAATATTTTCCAGTGTGTATGATTGACCTGGATTTATCAGTTCAACATATTGATGGATTTGACAGTCGGACATTTCCTACTATCAGATAGACAGTGATTACTGACTTATTTGACTTTCTAGGCTAGCGTCGGAAGCAATTAAATATAGTAACAGTAGAAGTATCCCGTCATTCTTATGATAAATCTAGACGAATCATAACGATCACAATGGTTTCTTCTTTTATGTGCTATTTTTAACAGTGATTTAACTTGGAAAATATTTAGTGTAAAAAATTCATGTCAAGATAGCTCAAGTGGTTAGAGCAGCGGTGTATTGAGCTGAAGATTGTGGCTTCGAATCCCGCTCATGACACTAACTTTTTCATTTCAAGCATAAAAAATATAATAACTTCTTACATAAAAAGATTAATTAATTGAAAGAAGTTGTTTGGTCAATGGGACCACGAAATATAACGGATTTAATTTTATGTAATGTTTTTAAAAAAATTGTTATTGTAAATGTAAGTAGTTAAAATCTTGGGAGAAAATTGAAAAATAAACATGAATTTCTCTCTTGAATAAGATTGATGGGAATGATTGATACAAGCATGGCACATCATCCTGATGGATTTTCTTAGCAACCAGGGGTTTAGAAAGTCAATATTTAGCTTATTTTTATTATGTAACGAGTAGGCCGATTGTTTTATTTTTATCACCTCATAAACAGGCCTTTTGATGGGAGTTGTAAGGAGCCTCTTTTGATGGCGGGTAAGGCCCGTGGAAACGGCGACGCCGCTGGTACCGGAGGAAAACATCCGGCCCCCATCAAAAGCCGGCAGATCAAGAGAAAAACTGCCAAAGGGGTTTTAAAGGGAAACGGCCGACCCCTAGCACTGTAACCCCAGCTAGGGTCAATTTTAAATAGTAAGTGCGGTCCTCGGGACATAAAAAAGTCAGTAACGTGCAAAAGAGACGGATCTGGGCCTCACCTGAGTCATCGGCGGCGATAAACGAATTTCTGATATGCGAGAGGAGCCAGTGTTTGTTGTCATACAATGCCATATTTCGATTTTAACATACATTGTCAACAAACGAGCACGCTTCTTTAAATTCTCTTTTTTAAATTATATCGGGATTCCTATCTGCCATATTGAATTCCAGGCATCCATTTCCATCCTTATCTCGCTCGCCTACATCCGCCCCGTTTCCCCGGCGAAAATTCCCCTCGCCGTAGGGACAAAAACAAATGAGAAAATCCTCATTTTCCTTATTATTATTATTATTCGAAACAAATGCGAATTAAAATGACCGAAAATTTATTTTCAAAAGAGAAAAATTACCTTTTGATTTGGTGTCAAGAGAGGGGAAAACCGCGTGCGGCAGATTGGCGCCCAAACGTGAGCAATTCGATTTTTTTGATTTTTCCAATTCAAAATAACAATTAAAAACTCTAAATTTACCACGACAAATCCTACAAACTTTAACCGTACTCACTTGCTTAATACTGCCCATTAGTAATAATATTTCATTTCAAAATAAGTAAAATCGATAGCGAAACGCTTAGGATTACCATAAGTCCACAAGGGGTAGACGGACCCAGTGCCGGTTCACATGTACTTATACACATGCATTGAAGAAGAAAATAATAATATTTTTCCGAGAAGAAAATTAACTCTAAAAGCACTGTTAAAGAGAAAGCCATTATCTTCGCCAAAGAATCTAAGTGAGTAGGTTTAACCCTTGACCAAAGGAGAAGGGGAGAAGTAATATAGATTATACTACTAAGCAAAGAGGCTACTGCAGCAAAACCTTGAAAATAAACCAGTCAGGTCCCTGGTTAATCATCCTTCCTTACTGTCTACAAAGAGTGGCTTCTAGACTGCCAGCAGACTTCTGATATACTTAACTCTTGACCTAAGGAGTAGTGAAGAAGTCATATACGCAACATACAACGTAAAGCAAAGGCACTACTGCAGCAAAGCCTTGGGAATAAACTAGTCAAACCTCTGGTTAACCATCCACCCTTACCGTCTACAAATGGGGTAGTTTTCTAGACTGCCATCAGACTCCTGAGATACAATTAAATAAAACCTTAGTATCCAAAGAAACTAAATTTCTAGGTATAACCATTGACCAAAGAAGAAATGGAGAATCATATAGAATATACTACATAAAGCAAAGGTACTACTGCATTAAAACATTGGCCATAACCCCCCCCCCCCCGTTAACCATCCACCCTTACTGTCTACAAATGGGGTGGTTTTCTAGACTGCCATCATACTCCTGAGATACAAGGAAATAAAACCAGAACATTCTTAAAAAAAACTAAGTGCCTAGGCATAACTCTTGACCTAAGGAGTAGTGAAGAAGTCATGTAGAATATACTACATACAGCAAAGGAACTACCGCAGCAAAACCTTGGAAATAAACCAGTCTGACCCTTGATTAGACATCCACCTTACTGTCTACAAATGGGGTGGTTTTCTAGACTGCCATCAGACTCCTGAGATACAAGGAAATAAAACCAAAACATTCTCCAAAAAAACTAAATGCCTAGGCATAACTCTTGACTAAAGGAGTATTGGAGAAGTCGTATAAAATATACTACATAAAGCAAAGATACTACTGCAGCAAAACCTTGGTAATAAATAAACCAATCAGACCCCTGGTTAACCATCCACCCTTATTGTCTACAAATGGGGTGGTGTTCTAGACTGCTAGCAGACTTATGAGATACAAGGAAATAAAACCAGGACATTCTCAAAAGAAACCAAGTGCCTAGGTATAACCATTGACCCCCGTGGAAAAGTCAGAAAATAAAGATATCCTACATGAAGCAAAAGCACTACTGCAGAGAAAATTCATTATTGTACTTAAATGCGATCTAATGACTACATCTGATATCTTAATATCTCGGACAGCAAACTGGATAAACAACGATGAAATAATGATAGTAAGACAAAATGTTTAAGAGTAAAAATCCAAGTAACCATTTCTGCTTAATCTCAAGGGAGTTTAACAATACGAGTAAGACAGTGAATCATGTGTTTCACTTATCAGCCACTAACTACTTCACATTAGGTATGTTATGGTTTGTTGACCAATTATTTAAGAAACCAAGTAGACAAAATTACAGGTTCTTCACCCCTGATGAAGCACATGGAAAAGTCTCTCCATTTAGCGAGTACACATCACATTACGAACTACAATAACTAAAAAGGATGACCATTAACTAGTAAACAGCACTTGGAATAACCCCTGAACGGTTTGTCAATTATTCATCTGTGTATAGACGGTTTGTATCAGCAATGCTGGGGAACTTGCATAAAGTACTTTGTACCTAATACTTCAATCTTGACGTGATCAACCTGCATAGATAAAGATCAACCTTTGACCTGTCAAAAGAGGATCGTTAATATATAATATAATGGTTTGTGCAATATTCTCTTGATAGTTAAGCAAATGATGTGCACAATGCACATGTCAGTCAGAAGAGCGCTAAGTTTTACCACCAGTGCACTCTGTTCAGCTGCCGTTGCAAATAGAACTTCTGCAGAAGGCATCGAGCCAGATCGAAAGCCCAGAATCGACGTTGACCGTTGACATCGATACGTATCAACAAAACCCACAAGCCCAGTGTCCAGCGTTTTCGGTTTTAACACATCCTCAAAAACTGTCACTTATTGGACACGTACGGGGTTTTCTGCAGGATCGACCCTCGTCTCACCCGTGGCTATGGGAAGAGTCGAATAAGCCAGATCACCCAAGGACGAAGCATGAGCGAATGCGACCAGTTCACCGAAGATTCCCAGTCGGAAAACGGATCGAAGTGCGACGTAAATGAAGCACACGACAAGACATTCTACGATTCTTTTCCATTCAAGAGCCACAAATTCAACAGGTGAAGCATCTACACTTAATTCTTCAATCAATACTTAATCTTCGTCAATATTTTCCATTAGCTGACTGCTTGACATCTTACTTCCACCTAATAAAAATTTTCTATGAAGGTTGAATATTAATTTTTAACACCTTCGTGTCTTCAATCACGACTCCCTTGAATTCTTCAGCCTCCCCCCAACCCTCTCTCTTGATGTAATGACGTCTAATGCCTGTTGATTATTGTTCATACAAAGCCAACCCGAAAAGACCAACTTAACTGTCAATGCAGTAAACAATGTCATGGTTGTAACACAATTAAATGAAAATTGACATTATTTAAACAACCTTTATCTCTAAAATAGTTCGAATACAATACCAAACTGCATGAAATGTGTTTTACACATTGATCATTTGCATTTATAGCAAGTTTTAACATTCGACGAGTTCCTTGTTATGATTAAGGATGACATTGCACTATGTTGCGTTTGATCATTAAATGGTCATATTACATAACAACATATCATATGGCACTGTGTGTAAAAGTCGCTTGCACAACGTTGGTAAAGAATTTTAAAATAATGTGAGAGCCAAATTAAAATTTTATACACCTGTGTTAAGATCAGTAATCACCGATACCATGAACTGGAGCAGCAAAACTGTGATTGTGGTCTGTGTATCCGTCAAAGCTCAGGTTGCTAAGGCTGGACCATCCTCCCGAACACCATGATTAAAATACACGTTTAAAAGGCAGTGTGGTGGGCCAGATTGGAGAAGCTTTTGTGTATCAAGAGCAATATCGATAGTTGGCCCTTGGAGGATCTTGTAGAAAAATGGTCATCCTCACCTGATTAACAATATGCCATGCGAGTTTGACACATTGGACAATTATTTTTGGGTCAAAGCCTGAGTATGTCAGGCATGAAGAGAAAGTTTGCTCGATGAGACCCACCTAATCAAAGGCTCCAACTCCTTGGCTTCATAGATGCTCTGAGAGTGTGAAGGAATGCCACCCAATATGATAATCCCCAGAGAATGGGCCCCCAGTTCCAATTTTTATAGGAAAAGGTTGTTTTCTTGTATATAGTACCGATAGTTTTGTGTACCTAGCATGTGTTGTCAATGGGCAGAATGGCAGAATATTGAGTACCCATCGCCCCTCAATTAGGCTAGTTGTATAATGTGTGTAGAGATTGTGTGGGGAGTAAATGTATTTATTAGCACAAATGTGTGATGTGAGAAGGTCGATGGCAGAATATCGAATACCCCATTGACAGTTGATTAGGTTAGTTGTATAATGTGTGTTTATACATCCTTTAGGTCGTGTTGGAAGTGAATGTATTTATTATCATGAATGTGGTGTGAGAGGGTCGATGGTGGAATATAGAGTAACCCATCAATTAAGTTAGTTATATGAAGGGTGATTAAGGAATGTCGAGTACTCCATTGTCCTGGTGAATGGTATGTAAATAAGTAAGAATATATTTAAGGGGAGTGAGGATTTCGGAACTGTTTACATTTGGGGCTAAAATGACCTAGCTGTTGACAGCCCCTGGAGCCCAAACTTGGTGGCTGGACTGTCAAGACCATGGTTTACCCCACGTTGCCAACACTGGATGGGTGTTTTCTACCCTTTTTTTGTGTGGGTATTTTCCAGATTTTTGGTGATATCCATCCTCCAGGAGTATATTGAGAGCGGTGCTTCCGTGAAAACACCTGTGCGATGTGTGGACGTCGTGAGCGATTGCGGGGGCAATGGCCTGTTCTGGAAGTTGACGTTTGGTTCAAGCATCGATGTTGTCGTCAATAACTGTGAAGCGCAGATTGCTGAGCTGATCGAGCGGAATGCTTCACTCAACAACCTCAAAGTCTGCGTAGCAAACAAAGACCCCTGCGTCCTCTTGCACGAGCGTGGATATAATTTTGTGTAAATGCAAATTTTACAAAAAATATTGAACTGGTAATTTACGTAACATTTATTTTAGATATTTGGATTGTAAAACAGAAGCTGCTCAGTGCTTTGATGCAGCTGTTAGGAATATTTCAAGGCAGGGGATTTTTGTAGTGACGACCAATGATGACAGTTCACTCCACGGTGGAGACAACAATGTTGCTTTTAGGCGTTACGGAGGCCGCATTACAAGGACGACTTATGCGGCTGAGCTTGGGATACGCCTGTTCATCGCCGCGCTCGCTAGGTAACCCGTCCAATCTAAAAGGACAGTCTTGAAAATAAATGAATCATAATTCAAGGTCTGCAGCGAGACATGACAGAGCGATACGAGTCCTACTATGTGCTGTGTACAAGAGCACCTTCACAGTCGCCATTATGTGTTTGAATGGAGCGTCATTGGCGAACAGAGTTATCAAGGAAGAAATACGCTCCCTCAAACACTGCATGGTCTGTGAAGAGCGTGTATTCTACCCTCCCGAAACTGAATTTCCCGTAGGTAAGTGTTACAAAACAAAACATGAGTTATATTTACTTCTAGGAGCATTACTACCCCAGTAACATTAAATTTATCAATAATAACTATGACAGAAAATCTCAGAATCTATTCTGTCATGTGTGATCTCATTTCAATCGATGTGCTAAGTAGCTTGGTTGATTGTGTATCAGTGTAAAATTGCATACTTCTGTCATGGAGTGCAATCCCATTAAAAATAAGAATTATTTTTAATCCATTGTTTGATGGATCGACATTTTTGGCAGGCGTCGTCATTTAACTTTACTTGGCCCAATTGATCGACCTCTTTGTTGTTCCTTCCCCTGTGTTGTCTGACAGGGCTTCAACGCTTCACAAACAGCCCTGGACTTTATTAATTGCCCTCAGGGCAGCTGCGAGGAATTAAGAACCCACACATTGTTCGTGAGTTCGAGCTAGTAAAAACTTGGTTGGGAGTTTTGCCACACTTCGTAACTTCCGATTATCCCTTATTCTGATGGCTGCAGATCTTACTATCCACTGTGACCTTCGTTAACAAGGAGGTTATCAAAAATAATTAGGATCGGTTTTTTTAGTAGTAAATCTCACTTGTTTTATGAATGTGATGGAATCGGTTAAGTTGACAAGAGGCCATTAATAAAACAAGTCAATTTAATAATTTACTAAAAAAAGATAAAAACTGAGCGAACTTATTTACCAATCAAATTAAAAAAACAACTAATACAGTTATTTGACTTATTATCATTGGACTATGCATTCATTTAGGGGCTTTTTCACAGTAATGTATAATTTAAAAATTAATCATACCCTTCAGATCGTCAATATTTTATTTGAGAGGAAAAAAAAGAGTAATTAAGAAATAAATTTAACCTGAAAAACATTCAAGAATGTGTTAATATGATTTTAGCAATGCTGTTTAAAGGAGAATGAATGGGTCTCATCGTCATCGCGATGATTTTCTGAATGCAATACTTCACAAGATTGAAGTGCCATAAGAACCCAAAACTCACACCGATGTCATGATTTTCATAATGCTGTTCCAATGAAGATGTGAGATGAAATTAAAAAAAATTTTAATTAATTTAAAAAATCACAAGTGATTTAATTCCATGAATACAGTGCTGTGAAAAAGTCTTACAATTGTTGCCATTCAACAAATAAATAAAGAAAAAATGGATTAGTTTGTTAGTACGTAATATACTTAATTTTATTGAATGGTGAATACTATCAAAGAAAATAATTCTTAATGTGATCCATGTTTAATGTTTGTCAATAATATATTTTAACCTAAAAATTAGTTTGAAAATGGAAGAATTCAATAATGATTTTCTGTTTGTTTTGGGTACTTTTTCACAGACTGTAATATAAAAATATATTCTTATATGAAGTTAAGTTTTACAATGTAGATTTAGTATAATTTTTGTCCATTTAGATCACAATTCAGTCAAACTCCCATGTGAGTGTTCGAAAAACGCACCGGGAGAGACGTGTCAGGTGTTGGGCCCTTTGTGGTCAGGCGATCTCTTCGACAGAGACTTTATCGACCGGATGTTATTCCGTGGCCTCGTCGGTGACCAGTTTTTGGAGAAAGAGCTCAAAACCATACTCGAAGAGTCAAAGTACGATAACAAATTTATGCTCTCCCCCAACAAAAAAAATTACAACTTATAATTAAATGTTGCAGATGCCCGTCGAAAGAGGATGACAACGTTGGCGGCAAGAGGATGAAGATGGATCATGTTTCCTCGCCACCTTTTTACTACAATGTCCACAAGCACCACCCGAGGTCTGAACAGCAAGTGACGATGAATAAGATTATAAACGAGCTGAGGAACGCAGGTTTTAGGGCGAGCAGGACCCACTTCGACAAAGTCTCGATTCGCACAAACGCAAACATGCGCGAAATGGCTTATATTATCAAGAAAATTGGTGAAAAGTGAGGATTTAGATTTGTTTCTGTTTAGCAAGAAAAAAAATTCAACCTTACATTGTACCTTTTTGTAAATATTTAAAAGTAAGAACTATTTATTTCCTAATTCCATGTGTATTTAATGTTGTATATAATAAAACATTATAATTAATTACACTTAAGTTTTTCATTTATTTATTTTTTTATGGGGGTCATAACAGCAATGATTGTATCAACCCATGGGAGGTTTTCTGGGGGAAAAAAGTTCATCAGTAAGTACTCTGGGCTTGAATGAAAGCAAAATCATGACGTCGCCATGTCAATTCTAGTGGTGCCCATAAATTAACATATAATGGTAGCAATAAATAATTTAAAATTATATAAAATTAAGGCAAAGCCTATTGATTAATAACAATTTTATTAAACAAGTAAGAAATAACTATTTTCACCTTTTTTTGAAAAATGTAAGAACATCATCTGCTAACTTCTTATAAATATTGGCCTAAAAAAATTAAATTAATAGTATCAAATATATTATTTATAAATAATTAGAAAATTAGCAATTACTTGGATACTGTTGGGACTGGAAATTATGGATGGCGTCCCTAGATCGGATCCTCTCGATATATCCGAATCTACCGGAATTTCAGCAAGTAGGGGGATGTCTAAATAAAAAGTATAACAGAAAAATTAATTTGAAATATAGTGAAGTGTGTGACCTTTAACCCCCCCCCCCCTGATACCACAGGTACATCTCAGTCGCATACAGAACACCTATATGGCACTATTATTACATAAATTACAGACAGTATTTCAAGTACAACAAGGTGGTAGAAAATTGGAGCAGTATTTAAGGCCTCAATAGATTGATCACTTAACCAAAAAATTGTTAGCAATGGTCAAAAAGAAGCTCAATTTCGGAAGAGGCCTTGGTACAAAAGGTAACTAACGGAGTTAAGAAATGTATGTTTGGGGATATACCTGTGGTGTTAAGGATTAATTTGATATCCTGGTATGCCTGTCCTCGCTGGTTTTGTCTGTTGCACTTTTGGCATTATTCAATTAATTAAGGGTTTTAGTTGAGATAAAAAAAAGTCAGTGCCACGAGCGGGATTCGAACCCACGACCTTCGGTTTGATACGCTGCTACTCTACCACTTGAGCTATCGTGACTTTGATCCGCTCGCACACTAACTTCCCATCTCAACCCCACCTTTTTGAATTTTCCCTCCTTTTTGCCATTTTTCAAATGTCGTGTAATCTATTTGATTCTTGGCGAAAAATGAGATTGCTATGGAGAGCTTTAATGAAGTATACTTCATTTTAACTCATTAAATTCACTATTTTTCGTGGTCTGCTTGACCAATTAATATCATTCAATTAATTTAGGTTTTTAGTTGAGATAAAAAGTCAGTGTCACGAGCGGGATTCGAACCCACGATCTTCGGCTAGATACGCCGCTGCTCTACCACTTGAGCTATCGCGACTTCCTTTTTTATTTTGGCATTATGTCATCTTCAAACAAAATAAGACAAAACTAGTGAGATAGGGCCATGAGTCTACAAGGATTTATGGTGAAATGTAAAAATTTACTCAATTCGTCTGCGAGAGATTTCGCTTCGTTTCCAAAAACCGGGATCGAGCTGTTGCACTGAGGGCATTGGACTGAACTCATGTTCGACACGAGACCTATGATCGGGATCCCGAGTTTCTCAAGCATTGTGGCGCCCCTCCTCGTTACTTGAACAGCCGCCTTTTGCGGTGTTGTCACCATGATTACACCAGAGATAGGCAGGTTTTGTATAAGAGTTAACAGAGTGTCACCCGTCCCTGGAGGCGTGTCGACGAAAAGGCAATACGTTGGACTCCAGTCGACATGTCGCATCAGCTTATCCAGGGCACTCATTACCATCAACCCACGCCATATCACTGCCGATTTCTCTGTTACTAAAAATCCCATTGACATACTGAAATGAATTTGTTTTCACTTAAATAATATTATTTTAAATAATGAAGAAAAATTCTCTTACCATTTAACACCATAGTTTTTAAGAGGTATCATCTTATTATCTATAAAAATATTTAAAAAAATATGAACTCTTGTAAAATAAATTTCTTTTAGTTTACTACCATTATTTAACAAAGGTGAATCATTTAACTTCATCATCAAAGGTATTGAGGGACCAAAAACATCTGCGTCAAGAAGGCCAACTTCTACATTTTTAGTCTGCGCCATTGCAGTTGCTAAATTGACTAAAACAAAAAACATTTGACCATAAACATAAAAATAATTAAATTAAATTAAATCACCGGAAGTTGTGGATTTTCCAACTCCTCCTTTCCCTGAGACAACAAGTACAATCTCTTGTACGCCTTCTATAGGCTTTTTCTTTGGTAAACCTTTCTCCATTATTTTCTTCTGCCTTTCATTAAGGTTTTCATTTTGCTGTAAATTGGGAGAAATCTATTTAAAAAAAATCCTTAGTGACTGTTTTGCAGGGTGAACAAGTTCAATGATGAATGTGAGTGATTTATTTTGTTGTGTTGACTGTTTGTGACATTAACATATTTCTGTGTCTGTTTTCCACATATTCTTTTGATCGTATTTAAAATAGCAGTGGCCAGTATAGAGGCTATAATTTTTGTCAAATCTTTCCTCATGAGAGAGGAGTTTCTTTGCCTTCATTTTTAGAAGATTAATGAATCTCTTTGAATTGGCCACCTATCGACAATGAACTCTTTTGTAGCTTTTCAAACTGCCAAAAACAAAGATCCATCAGAGCGGGTTAAAAATACGTTTTCAGAACGCATTCAAGGACAATGCAAAAGTTCATAAAGACCATCACATATAGAACAAGAACAAAAGTAGTCCTCCAGACTCAGGAGCCATAAGGTATAAGGTCACAGCAGCAAAAACAAACATATGCAGGCATTGCCAGGAAGAAGAAGGAACAGCAGAACATGTCCCCTTTTGGTGTGAAGGCTTATGAAAGTTGAGTTATCTACTTCTGGAGGAGGAAAAGTATTGTCATGATGCATATACACGGGAGTCCTTGAAAAAGCTTTAGGAACTTAATAAGGAGCTTAGATAACAATGATGACTGCACAATAGATCATTACTGATCATGGTGCACAGGTCATAAAGAAACTGACTTATTAACCTTTTGATGTGTATGGTGATGACGCCTTATGAGAAAAGGCCATAAGTGGTTTACTACGTTCAGAAGTGGATTGATTTGGAGGACGCAAAAGGCTCTGGTTTTTAACTGTTGATGATGACCAAATTCAATCTTTTGTCACAAATTCCCCCCCCCCATTCAATGCACCTGAGTGTAGGTGGATAAGTTGGGTTTCTGAGATGTTGACTGGGAACAATTATTGGGCTGCATCTCCTTTTGCAATTCCCTCCTAAAATGACCAATTTTTAAAAGACTGAAAACTGGATCTTAGCAACAAGTCCAAAATTCTGTCTTGAAAATTGCAAAAAGTTCATCAAAGGACCATCGGCAGAATTAAACAAGAATGACGGTAGTATTACAGATCCTGGAGGCATATTTAAAAGGTCGGAGCAGCCTGAAGGAAGAAACAGGGAGACATGTCCTATGTATCTGTTGGTGTGAAGGCCTGTGCAGACTGAGACTCCTACTCCTGGGAGAGGAGGAATTAAGGCCTGACGAATAAACACGGGAGTCCTTGAAAAAACTTTGGGTCTGATAAAAAGCCTTAAACTTAATGAGGTGTTTTAGACAATACACACGTACAATGGACCAATACTGAGCGTGGCGTGCAGGTTGAAAAGAGGCTGATTCCTTTTCTAATTTAATCCAATCTAAGCTATCCTGTATGACAAGAATTGCTTTGCTTTACTAATTCAACAATTCAGTGACTTAATGAGTCAAATCACTTACTGAAAAATCCTGATTCACTTACTTTGTTGCACACCTTCACATCAATTTCTCTATCATACTTTCTCATAATTTCATTGATTTTCTAACTTATGTCATATATTATAATTTAATTAATTAACATATTTTATAGATTCCATAATGAAAAATGTAAAAAATACTATGAAAGTAATTGTGCAGTTTGTTCAATTAAGTTTGGATATGTATTTTGTAGATTGATTTTATTTGGAACTTAGATTATATTTTAGTCCGTGATTAATTTATTTAATTATTTAAATAAAACAATAGAAAATATTCTCACGGAATATAAAGATGAGAAGAATTTGTTCGTGGTTCTCCGCAGGTGTTTGACGAGCATCTTTCTACCAAAGCTTTTATAACCACTCAATTACCTTCCTGTTTATTTTTTACAACCTTCCAGTTTTCATATTGCAACCTCACGTTTTGTTTATCTCTTTGAGGCGAAGTTTATTTGTAGAGTTTGTAACACAAATTTTTCTAATTTTAATCATTTTGGATTTTTTTTTACCGTCTCGAGTTGAAATGTCGATCCCATTATTTCCGGATTTGGTGCCGAGGATTATCGACCCACTTTGGTTTAGTGTCGACAGCCCTTGCAACGACGAAACCGAACTCATACAACTCGAGCACGAACACAAAAACTGGGTATGGGAATAGTTCAAATTAAAAAAAACAAACAAAAAACCTGCCTTTTTTCTCGTTTCCAGCTGGCCAAAATCACGCAGAAAGATGCCGACATCCTGCCAATAGGAAAAACTGCAATAGAGGTAAATATATTTGAAAAAAGTACTTAGCATAATCTAAGCTTCCTCTCAGTTTGGTCCATTCATCAAATGTCAAGGTTTCAAGCGCAGATTAGGATTAACAAATCAACAGGTTATGGGATACTGTATAGTATTTTTATAGAAGACAATTTTGTACTCGATGGGCCAAAGGATCATGACAACAGACCGAGACCACATTGTATCAGGAAAAACCATGTACTGGTCTATGATCACTGGGATAACACCAGTAATTCATGTTGAGCACTCATTATTGCATATGTGAGCATCCTAAATTGGGAGTATTTAAAGTGAATTATGACATATTATTTTTTGAGGTAAAGGCCCATTTTTTTGATGGGCTCAAAGATGCAGACCCCAGTATTATAAACAAAATTCTTCAAGAATCAATAATGTCAAAGTGGCGGGGAGCTCATTGTCTTTAAACCGACGAATCTAAAATTAATGGCAATGTCGGTTGTGCAGTTTGGGATCCAACTAATAGCCACAGTATTAAAATTAAACTTCCAAAGATCATGTTGATATTTGCTGCAGAAATGATAGCGAAAGATGAGGCCCTGATTCACTAGAATGCCACCAGACACCATAAGTTTATCTGTTCTAAAAAAAGTTAAGCTACAACTTCGAGGTAAACGAGTAAACTTTGGATGGATGAAGGGGGAATTACAAAGTTAACGAATTAGCCAAAGAGGCAGCGTTTGATGGCACAGAAATAGAAATAAAGTCTAATCGAAGTTATGAAACCCTTAAAACAATCTAGTCTGGTCTCAGGTGACAGCAGAGAGTGATAGGGGTAAATATTTGAATTTGACAGAGGCAGAAGGGTATACTACTACATGGTTTCTGGGACCAAGAGGGAGTGAGCAAGGATTTCTGTCGCTCATTTTGCCGGCTGCGAACTAGCAATGCTATGTGCAAAGCATACTTGCATAGATTTGGGATGAAAGAGTCACCACTATGTGAAAACTGTCAGGCCGTAGAAACGTAGGAGCATATTTTGATTTGCCCCAAGCATAAACAAATTAGAGGAGAAACATTTGAAAACCTTTCCACATAAATCGTTAATCCGTTTAATTTTAATACCATTTTGAGCTCAGAAAATTTATACATGTTTATACAATCATTTATTAAAACATCATGACTTTCTTTTTCAATTTCTAAATGATGAGTTTTTGGTTTGGTGGTTGGGGGCCTCCTTTTGAGTTAATAAGTAATAAAATAAAGAAAAAATTTAAAAAAAAATCAACTGACACAATATGCAATTGGCAAATTTTGTGCGAGGGTTGTTACCAAAATATAATTACTTAAAAACATCTTCACATTGGATCTAGCAAGATGCAGCACAAGTTTCTACAAAGTGTAATGTGTCCTCAAATTCTCCAAATTGATTGAAATTGAAATGTTGGACCAGCGGAAAGCCTGTCCTTCAGAAAAAAGAAGAAAAAAAGATAAAATAATAATGGATCTTTCAAAAGCACTTTGGCATATACAATTTATTTAGAAAAGAAGCAAAAACTTAATTAACATATAATTGATGTGCTAACACCCTTCAGTCCCGAAAATAGGTCGAAGTCTGTCCAAAGCCTGTAATACACATAAGCAAATAAGCTTTTAAATAATATAAACAAATCTCAAATTGGGTCAGGAGTTATCAAAGATCAAATAGTCCCTGTCAAACAAATGGTCAAAGGAACATCTAAGCTGGAAATAATCCAATTTAAGCTGAAGAAATATGGACACTGTCTTTAACAAAAGGACAAATTTTCATGTTTGATCTGTTATTATTATAACTTCTGAGTTACTGTGATGTGCTTGGGACAGCGTAAAAACAAAACCTTTTTCGGTACATCTAAATATTATGAATTAGTGTCCTTATAGATATTCAAAATATACGATTAGTGCTACCCTGAAATTACCATTTTAGTTAAATAAATAAAGAACAATTAATGTCCAAATTTTTTATTAAAATTATTTGCGCGTTGAAGCCTTAACCCATTTGGTGATTTTGCAAAAAAAAAACAATTGAGAGAAAACTGTAAATGTTCTATTTATATTTTTGTTTTGTGTGGTGATTAGTGACCGTTAGTCGATGATTATTCAGAGATCGTGAGATGCGGTCTGGTGTGATGTAGGTTTCAGAAAAACATTTTCTTTATCGTGCCACCGTTTCAATCTTTATTGAGATCATCTTCAGGGCCTGGGATTTACAAACACTTTTCCACATCCTAAATGTATTTGTTAAATGTAAACAATGTTTGTAAATCCCAGGCCTTGAAGATGATCTCAATAAAGATCGAAACGTTGGCACGATAAAGAAAATGTTTTTCTGAAACCTACATCACCCCAGACCGCATCTCACGATTTCTGAATAATTTTTGTTTTGTATTTAAATGACCTAAATTTAAACAATATTATTTTGGGAATAAATAGTTGCAAATGTAATAAGTGTTTGTCAATACTGACATTTAAATATCTATCCAAACGATTATAAGTTTAGATATAAATTCCTAATGTTGCTTTTTTTTTACAAATTAGTTGCAGCAGACAAGATCGTGTACACCCGAATCCGAATTGTTCTTTAACCTAGCTTCGTCTCAAATACAAGACTTTCCCGAAGAACTTTTTACGCTCCTGTCCGAATGAGATTTGTTCCAAACAGTCTTGAATTTGTTTGAACTTTGCAATTTTTTAGATGTTGTTTCATACTTTTCTGTTTTTTAATTTTTATTTCCATATAATTTCCGGTGAGTTGGTATCATTAGTTATGGAAATTGGAAAAGAAAAAGGTAGTGTGTACTTGATGGGGGTTAAACAATTATTCATTTATGTGATTCTGTTCGATATTAATTCAAAAATATATTCCAATATAATCTGTCAGACAGTCTCATCCTCTCTCTTTAATTCTTGATCCTATACAAGTAATAAATATGTAAATAATCAAACAGTAAAACAAAATAAGATCAAATTTAAAATCAGAACATACTTCTTTACTTTGTACTGAGTTTAAAGTTGCCAAAGATACTAGGAATTTGTTTTGCGAAGCAGGAATGTAGGAAAATAATATTTTTACATTTCAACATGTTTAGGGCTAAAATCTTGAAAAAAAAAGTAATGAGTGATCATATGGTCAGTGCTGATCATTGAGTTGATGGATGAAGAAGCTGTCTTAAAAAGTTTGGGCATATTGACTTCTGATTGGATCTTGAATAAATAGTTAAATGTTTATTAGCGAGTACACGCTTCCTTTTAGCTGGCAATAATATTTAATAATTTTAATTATAGGGTGGCTCTTGTATTTTTTTATTTTTTTTTGACATAGCTGAAAACGATAGATGGTTTTGGCATGGTTGCAGCTTTACAGAAAATAAAATTATATGCCTTAAAGCCAATGATAAGGGGCTCCTCGGTTTAGTGGACCTCCATTATTATTATCCAATATCATTTCTGGATACCAGTTTAAGTTCAAATTTTTTAATTTATTCGGATACATATACAAATGCTATGTCTTATTGGAAGATAAAAATCTCTTTATGGAGGACAGCACCTTAAAGAGGTAAAAAATAGTGTACTGTCCCTTAGGAGTAGGTTTCACTGCATATACATATTAATACAGACAAAACATTTTTCCAGATAAATAATGCAAAATTAATGACAGATTTGGCTTGTAAATGTTTCTTAAACCAAAAAAATCCAACTCGTAAAACCTCATATAGACCAATAAGTCTATTTATTTGGGTAATATTAGAAAAGCTCTCATTAAAAAATAATTCTTCCAATCTTAATTCTCAAAATTCCTGACCATCTTTTCGCAACTGCCTCTCAAATTGTCCAGCAGTATCGTTGGGTTTTAGACATTATCTCTTTCTTTGTTGAGTTGGGCAGTACCAAGGTTTTGATCGAATTTGGCATTCGGGATTGCTTTTTGCATCAGAGCTACCAGATGTCCGCATATTATTCTTTTCATACTGGTATTCCTCAGGGTGGCGTTTTGGCACCCACACCAGGTGTACACAGCTGACGTCCCATCCCCAAACCACCTTGCAGACGATACTGCTTCGTTGTAAAAAGTAAATCTTGTGGTTTCCATTCAAAACCGTCAACTCCTCACATTACTAGAGTCCAGTCCATCCACATAACCTTCTGAGCAGAAATATCCCTCCAAATTACCTCAATAATATCTCCATCCTAATTGCGGACAATAACCTGTACCTACACGACTAAAATGCCAAGAAGTTATGATTCCAACAGAGCTCTTTCATGACTTCTTGATTAATATTCTGACCTATCAGACACCAGAACTAAAAGACTGCTTTATAACACCTTGCACTTACGGACTGGATGTATGTGGTTCAGCCAAACAGTCCAGTATCTACCGCATCCAAACTGCCAAATTCATAAGCCCAAAAAGAATCCTTGTGTTGAACTACCCGTACAGACATATTTTTTGTTTGTTCAAGATGTAACGCTCTCGTTACAGCAAATAAAATCCCTCCCGATCATCATAAATCCTCAAATCCAGAAAATCTCATCCCTATGAATTCCCTGAAACTCGTTGACTAAAAAGGCCGCGGTATTCTGTGACAGAAGTCTTAATTAAATACACAAAATTGCAGTATCATTGGAGTACTGCCAATGGGTAGTTTCTCAACTATTATTTTTAATTTTAATTTATTTATGTTTTCTCTTTCAGTGTTACTTGCTACCGAATTAGATCGGTTATTTTGTTAATCTGGGCTAGCTTTGTTTTAAACATCTTTCGACCCAATGTTTTGTCTATTCGTTAAATAAATCAGCTTAAGAACGAAAATGCACGTTTTCTTTTCAAATTTCCAACTGTAATCCATTACAACTGACTAAAATTACGGCTAAAGTGTTGACACATAAACATTATTTATGATAAGATAATGTGTACTACGTAAACAGAGTCTTAAAGTTTATTGGCTTTCATGGACATGCAAGGTACATTATTTCTACCGATTAAATCATCTCGATATTAAATAATTTATAGAGCCACCCTATATATTAATTACGGTATTAATACCTAACGCGTATTTTTAAAAAAATCACAATTACATGTAAAAATTTGCAGCGAGGTGAAGAAGAGGAAGAAGACGACGACGACGATGACGATTCGAACGAAGAAGAAGAGAGTGAGACGCAGGACGAAGAAGACGAAGACATGGAAGTCGACATCCCGTACGACCGAGGAGAACCTGGTCCTGGGTAATTGATATTTAAAAAAATTAATGTTCGGGTTTTTTTTAAATAGTTATAATTTGTTTTATTTTTAGCATTGTCCAGACATGAGCCTCACAAGACTTCTGATGACTTATACCTCTTATAACTGCTGTACAAATTTATTTACAATAAAAAAATTATATGTGATTATTTATTTATCCTTTGTAAGACATTTTAAAAGGTTTATTTTATTTATTTTTTTGGATAGAAGGGCCACTTGCAGGGGTAGGATTCGTCGTGCCACGGGCAGAGGGTAGTAACCTTGGTTGTGCCCGTGCGCGTGTGTATCGCATCACCCTGTATATAGGCCAGGTTGGGGCAACGGCCCTTTGGGTGAACGACATCCCCATTGCCTCCGAAAAGTTTCCGAACCTATTAACGGCACGGGGAAGATGGGGGAAAAACACCCCCTTCGTCGTATCGCCTTTCATTTATCCACCAATTTCCGGGTTAGCTGACATATTTCACTGGCTGGTGGAAAATTAACGTTGAGCTTTATTTTTCTAAAATTTCAAATCGGCAAGTTATGTTGGAGTTAGATTCGTCCATTTGGACTTCAGATTGGTTTGAGGAAAACCACTATATGTTCATCAAATAGGACTATTGTATTGTACTAATCCTCGTATTACCCACAGAAAGCATACTAAAATGATCATCAACAACGAAAATATAAACTTGTATCGTTCTCATATTATAAATTTAACCAAACTAGCTTGTAAATTCGTACCAAACCAAGGATAGCTATTCAAGACACCCACAGGCCTATTCTTAGTCTCTTCGTCTATGCAAAAAATTACTTCTCGAATATCAATAACGAAGTGGACAATAGTAAATGGTTTTAATTAATACGAAATTATAACGTTTCGAACAATGGTGGCCTTGGGGAGGTGGCAAAAGGAAACTATTGTTCATGAGCTGAGAGGTCTCACGTTCCTTTTGAATAAGATCACTTCCACCCCTGGATATGGGTCAATCCTTTTTCACGGAGACGGAAAACAACGGGTTAACTGATCTAAACGTAAAAACTGCAGTTTTAGGGTGCTTTATTGCAATCAAAAATAGAAAAATATATCATAAATGCTCCTATAAAAAAATTAACGAATAAAGTTTAAGATTGTCTGTTTTAAGAATGCACATAAGTGTTTTAGACACGCATGGGTGCACTGGAAATAGAAGGGCCTATTAGCGTGATGTGATACGTGTAAGTAGATAAATAAACAACCTGGCAACATCCTTGCCAGATATGAAATTATAGCAGTCCGTTGTATCTCGCTACTGAAGATGAAAAACTAGCATAAATTATACCGAGATATTTTAAATTTTGTGCTCAATAATAATTTCTTACTGTTTGTAAGTAATGATATAAGTATAAGTTTTTATTTAAACTCTCTCTTTTTCTCTTCCAACTATTTTCACTCTTATTCTCTCTCTCTCTCTCTCTCTCTCTCTCTCTCTCTCTCTCTCGCTCTAACCCTATCTGTACCTATCTATATATCACATATCTACTTACCAATGTATGTATTCACTTATCTAAAAGATTATATTAATTATCCTTATTGATCTCTGTTCTTATCTTTCTGACTGTCTATATATCTGTTAGTATATGTATGTCTACTTATCTATTTATCTATCCCTACCTATTTATATTTTTTATTATAAGTTTTTATTTAAACTTTCTCTTTTTCTCTTCCAACTGTTTACACTCTCCCTCTCACTGTCTGTCTGTCTGTCTGTCTCTCTGTCTGTCTGTCTGTCTGTCTCTCTCTCTCTCTCTCTCTGTCTGTCTGTCTCTGTCTGTTTGTCTCTCTCTGTCTGACTGTCTCTGTCTGTCTGTCTGTCTGTCTCTCTCTCTCTCTTTCTGTCTCTATCTCTCTTTTCTCTCCCTACCTATCTATCTACTTAACTACTTATCTATGTATTGTATTCCCCAAAATCATCGCATAAATGCGTTTTCGCCTTTAATCGGTGGACAATTTGAATATAAAAGTTCACATTTGATTTGTTTCAAACCGTCGCAATTAGGAAACTGATAAGTTTTGAAAGGACCCGGAATACAGGTGGAAAGCTGCTGCTGGTATCAAAATGTGTTTTCATTAATATATGGAAATCTCGTTAGATATTATAGAAAAGTCTTCTATTTTATAATTTTCTGGTAATCTCATGAAGTCAGAAGCGTTTGAATTCTGCCTCAGCTGAAGAATTTATAGTGAAAGTGAAGAAAGTTCATTCGCGATGTACGCCTCTGGGCCGGTCTCGTACGGTCGGACGGGATAATGCGCGTAACAGGTCCCATTAACTGTAAACTGGTGGGGTAAAAAGAACGAAGCTGATATGAAATTCCTTTCTCAATTGACTCGGCCAGAAAACAGTTGCACTTCTCACCTCGTCCGGAAAAAGTTGACCTCGCCCCCCAAGGATCCCAATTTCTTACAAAAACAAAGAGAGATCCAGAGGCGACCATGCCGCGGTTGTCCACTTCGCCAAATTGTCCGAATATGAGAGGAAATTAGGAATAAAAGATTCGGACCGGGCAGGGGATCTAACGCGGGGTCGTTGCCCGGGCTAGTTATTTTTAAAAGGATCAAACCTTGTGTTTATCAGGCACGGCCAGCCTCGGTAGGAACAAAAGCTATTCCTCCGACTGGGTTACGGGCGGCTGGAGCATCGGACTTCGCCAAAAACGGCCTAAGAGCTTTAATTAAACTCCGAAAAAGTCAACTGGTCAAATATCACTGGATTACATGCATACCTATAATAGAAGACAATTTCTATATTACCTAAACAAAAACGTTTATCAAAACTGACTAATTTGTGTAGTCGTACACAATGTGTTTAGTAAGCATACATTTTCATTAAAAAAAGCTTTTGCTAGAGTAAACGACATATATAGGCAATCATTTCATCGATGGAGAAAAAGAGTGGACAAATGGACAAAGATGTATATTGAGAAAGACAGAATATATTAATATAGACATTTAGATAGGTAAATACATACATTGGTAAGACATATGTGATAGATAGATAGATAGTTACAGATAGATAGAGTTAGAGCGAGAGAGAGAGAGAGAGAGAGAGAGAGAGAGAGAGAGAGAGAGAGAGAGAGAGAGAGAGNGAGAGAGAGAGAGAAACATCCAACGAATGTGGAGAGAAGAGTCAGAGGATACTTAGTAGATGTATAGAGATAAAGCGATAGATTAATTGATTTATAATGTTTTATTTCTTCGCAGAAAGTAGGGCTCCTGGACCTCTAGGCACATTGATCAATCTTATATACAACGGCTTTGGATAGAGACCGAGAAAGATACATAGGTAGATACATATACAAAGAGGTAAATACATAGATATATAGATAAAGAGAAAGCGATTGATTGATTGATTGATTTGTAATGATTTATTTCACCACGTTAATTTAGGTCTCTTGGACGTCTAGATAAATTGATCAATCTTATATCCAACGACTTTGGAGAGATACAAAGAAAGATACAGAACTACATAGATAAACAAAGAGGTAGATAGATAGATAAGTAGATAGATGGATGTATAGATAGAGAGAGAGAAAGCGATTGATTGATTTATGATTTATGTTTGATTATTATGTTTTATTTCACCACGCTAATTTAGGTTTAGATACATTGATTACTTTATTATTCTGATTATCCAACGACTTTGGAGAGATGTAGAGAAAGATACATAGATAAGTAAATAGATATATATGTAGATAGATAGAGAGAAAAAGATTGATTGACTGATTGATTTATGACGTTTTATTTCACCACGCTAATTTAGGTCTTTTAGACCTCTAGATACATTGATCACTTTTATATCCAACGACTTTGGAGAGGTAATTCTTAGATACATAGATAAACCAAGAGGTAAATAGATATATACATAGATAAGTAGATAGATAGAGAGAAAGCGATTGATTGATATATAACGTTTTATTTCACCATGCAAATTAGCTCTCTTATATCCAACGACTTAAGAGATAGACAGGGAAAGATTCATATATAGATACATATTCAGATATGTAACTAGATAGATACAAACATAGATAAATAGAGAGATAGATAGGGAGAGAGTGAGTACGGACTGAGAGAGATAGAGAGAGAGAGAGAGAGAGAGAGAGAGAGAGAGTGAGAGAGAGAGAGAGAGAGAGAGAGAGAGAGAGAGAGAGAGAGAGAGAGAGAACAAGTAAACTTTCATTTTTATCTAGCTTCTCATGGACAAAGTTTTGGTCCATCACGCTATTTCCGGATTAGCAAGTTCCGAATAGTGGCTTAATTTTTTCAAATGGCAAGATTTAATTTTTTTTATATCGACATATGATATGTAAATATGAGTGTATATGTGCGTCTATGAAGATTTATATATCAGTCAATATCGATTCTCTTTCACAGTATAATAAATGTGGACTAAGGATCCTTCGCGTAAAGTGCATTAAACTTCAATGTTAAGTATAAATTTAGACGACGATTGAGTCTTTTCATTAGCAGGGCTCGGTCGATTTCTATTTCCTCTAGCATTCCGTGATTTCCCTCATGGCCCCGGGGTTTGTTTTTACAGGGCACTTCCTAGCTCGGGTCAGGCCGGCCTTATATGATAAACACCTGGCTCCCGCATATAAACCGTATGCGCAATGAGACGCAGAATTTGGTTACCGGAGACACCCCTGCTCAAAGTGGTCCAAGGCATGGCAGTATTTTTTCTTCTTTTAAATAATGAACATATAGCTTTTATATTGATTATGGTAAAGTTTGGATATTTGATAAGAACTCTTTAAAAAAGTCAAGTAGTATTGAAACAAAAATTAGACTTTTTTTTCTAAAAATGTTATTATTCGGTCAACTGTCGAAAGGTTGAACCTTTGATAGGTCGAAGAAAATCTCTGTCTGTCTGTCTCTCTACTTCTACTTATCTACTTACCAATGTATGTATTTACCTATCTAAATGTCTATATTAATTATCCCTATTGATCTCTGTACCCATCTTGTACCTGTCTATCTTTCTGTCTGTCTATATATCTGTTTGTATATGTATGTTTTCTTATCTATTTATCTGTCATACCTATTTATATTTCTTTACCTACCTATCTATCTTTCTGCATGAATGGCTAACTTACCACTATGTATACATATATACACTCCTAT